TGAAGAGATTCGAAGGTCGGTTCCACCAGAAGACGACAGGGGATTACTCTTGACTATCTGTCGATTGGCTTTACTGGAAGATTCATGCTGACGCTGTTTCCGAAGTAAGCTCCTTCGATTCCGGTAAAAAGGTGCTAAGCTTTCGTCCGTCATATGACGAACATCATCAGAGAAAGGAGTCATCGTCACAACCAAATTCAAGAAAGGGGCAGATAGTTGTCATCAAACCTTGCTGTCCTAATTACTTTGAGCCAGCACCGCGATTTTCGTACATAAGCAAACACAAACAGGCACGTACACATACAGAGACAAACACACTCACAGGCATCGAAGTTGACATATGACCTTAACTAACCAAATCACTTTATATTTGACCAAAGAGGCCAGATGTAGAGTATATATACCACTTTTTAGGGATTTGCCGGTTAGTTTTGTTGACTCGTTAGCTTTAATTTTTCCGTGACGATGATACCTTGCTATGATGATGTTCGCATATGACGGACGCAAGCTTAGCACCTTTTCACCGGAATCGAAGGAGATTACCTCGGAAACAACGTCAGCATGAATTTTCCAGTAAAGCCAATTGACAACTGGTCAGGAGGATTCCGCCGTCGTTTTCTGGTGGAACCGACCTTCGAATCTCTTCAACCAATACTTTCACTCGGAATGGGAGTGAGCTCAACAATTAGGAAACAAGAGATTCCTCGAGACCCAAATTTTCTTCGCATTATTTCATAAGCCTTTAGCCGCACGAATACTTTTGACTCACCAAGCAAAGCACCTAGGCTCTGATTACCTTGCTTGCAGATATCAAGCATTGCCTTCACGGCTCATCTCTCTGATTTGATCCCTATAAGTTGGACAAACTTGGAATTTTTCTATCTTTTTTTGCCTGTTATTTATCCATAGTGCAGAATTTTAATAAGGGCTGTGATTATCTGTCTTCCCATTGTGTGTTGCTTCATATCTGTTAATGACCTTCAACCTTAGTGGTTCACATTCTTTCAGTATCTTTGGAAATCTGTAAGTTGTTGGTGGTCTTATTAGTTAATTTATCATTCATTCGTCCATCTCACCGTTCCTTTGCATATCTTTCAGCGTATCCCATAATGTTCCGTTGATTTTCACAATTTGCTCCTTTTTTAGTACACGATAAGTGTTTCTGCCTTGTAGTATACATTCCATCTTCTCGTTACATTTTTTCCTGTCCTCTAACGCTGTCGCTCTCCTTTTATCTGCTTGAAGGACTAAGTGTTCATTCCTTTATATAGGGTCCTGCGTACACTCGCAAATCTATTTCCCTGTGTTGTTTCTTGATCTTTCGATATTATTGGAATTATTTCCAACCTCATTTTTTGCTATTTCTTTTCTGTGTACCTTTTGGAGGTATTGACGACGTCCTTTAGAATGTCTTCTAGAACGTTTATATCATTTCAAAGAGAAAGTTTTAGGTTCGGGTTCGTAGTGTTTTCTGGATCAAGAGGTAGCGAGGATAAATTCGCTACTTTATTTCGGTAGTCGTACTGATCAATTGATGTTGTCACTTCGGTAACCACTGTAACTGGGCGCGTTGGCTCTAATTTATGTTGTCTTATAATCTTATACATATGTTATTTATTGTAATATCTATTTATGATAGAGCCAGAGATTTTACATGATTTCTTTTTGGTCACACTCTAGAATTTTTTAAAATTCTGGCCAGATCAAGCCAGAGCTTCAGCTAAATTTTTATAAACTTATATAACTTATTCCTCTCCATATCATACGTTTATCTTAACTTCTAAAGGTAGGCTGATAAAGAATCTCATTACCCTTTCAGAATGGTAGTATCCCTTAAGGCCACAGAATCCTGGTGTGATATCATAATATGTGCAAGCCTTCATCAAGATTAAATGGTATTGATTTATTTTGCTCAATTTGATCCATTAAATAGGCGCTAGCAGTTGCGTATTTATGGGTTTGTTATATTGAAGGATTCACTTCTCCAAAATCAGCCTGTCAAGATTGTCTAGACGAATTTCTTTAGCTTATTTATATACAATGATGATGCTAAGCTTAATATAAAATTATAAAAGGATGATACACTACCATTTCTTGATGCAATTGTGGGCTTAGAATATAACATTTGTGTTAGCAATATAGGAAGCCTACACATTCATTTTTATTCTTTTCTTATTAACTGACTTTTTATATTTATGAGGTCAAGTTGGAATGAGAGCGATAATAAGTGGCTCTCGTAGGCATAAATCCCTGGCATCAGGATATCTCTTGATTGAGGAATATATAAATGCGAAACAATTATCAACTACGAATGATAAATACTTACAGTTCACTACTTATACATAAGTGGCATCCCTACTCAAAGAAGGCTAGGAAGACATACAACCCTACCAGGTTTCTTATTTTGTCATTCTCTAAGACCTGTAAGGGAGACTTTTCAACCTATCTAGTAGAGAAATTATCTTAAGACAAACCAACCTGTTAAAGTCATTGTGACCGAAAATTCGAGCCTGCTCAGCATATAGCTATTACAGGACACGTTATATAATGGACCAAATCGCAGAATTCCGCAGGTTACAGCAACCTTATATAAAAGCGTAAGATTAAGAAGAATATAAAAATAGTCGAAACATCCACTATTGTTGATAAGAGCAGCGTGTGTAGGAAGTTAGTGCGAGCTATGGTTGGTTATTTAATAGGTTTAAGGGCGGGGGGGTAGCGAATGTGGGCAGCAAGAAACTCTGAGCAAGTTTAACGCCATACATGTCTATAATATAGAATAAATACAATACCACATTCCCAAGTATGCATCAACGTTGGACAATTGTAGGCCGATTTACTTAAGCGAGTAAACAGTTTCTAACGCATCCTCATCCTTTTCATTAATTAACTTCATCCATCTGCAAGCATGCAGGGTACGCATGAAACTACTGACCAAGTAAAGTGAGGGTAATTGTATGCGGTTACCTATTCTCTTGATTTACTATATTTGTGCTCTTTCATTGATGACTTCTTCGCCCTATCCAACATTCTTTACTTTAAAGAGATCCTCATTCGGTTTCCGGTGAAACCATTTCACGAATTCCTTCGCACTAACTTATCTATGAAATTGAAAATGTGAATTTGTTATGCATTTGCTGTAAACACAAAGACAACCATAATTAACAGCCTCCTAGCAAATCTTACCTTTTAATTTAGGAAAAACTCTCCCCTAATTCTATTCATATTAATCTATCTATTAATTCGTATCTTTGTCGGCTGCATTCCGTCTGTTGTTGAACTGTTCAATTATCTCCTATTCTAGCAAATTGATTCTTTCCTCTATAAATGTCAACAATTTAGACAAGCTATAAATCAGGTCTTAGGCACATTAGTTTTTATACAGCGATTATATTCATTTAATTCGTAATTCAAAAGTAGAACCGGCTATAAAATTGAAGTTTGTTTCCAATGCCATCCTGGCCGGTATTTCCTATGAAATATCGGAGTTTTCTTGATAAGCAAGTTTTTCTGCTTTTTGTCTAAAGTCTGAAATATATATATCGTATATATATATATATATATATACGATATCGTTTACACGCATGTTTCTAAATTTGACAAATAGATAAATTTTTCCTAGGTTAGGATTAGTTAGTCCTGTAACGACGTTATGACAAAACTTTGTGCACTGGCTTTAAGGAACGTGGCAAGGAAAACCATAGCATAACCTTGAGGGTACAACTAAGAATGGAAGACCAGATAATTTCGGGGTTATTTAGTTAATGCCCCATTAAACGATTTTTCCTTTTGAGCAGGAAATTATGAATGTTCGCTGTTTGGTTTGTCAATTTGGACCATCATTATCAACTTTCTTTATCGACAGTCTCCCCCACTTAATACGCGCATAGTGACGATTTTAAGTCCTGCTATGGGTGTTAATTATTCCCTTTTTCTCACACACACACACACGCACTCTCTCTCTCAATAAGAATGCCAAAGCAAGTACAAAAGGGTTGCGTTGAATCATTATCTTTGTTTCCTCACAGGCACCTCAACGACATTAAACTAGAAATAGCGAATATCTGAGACTAATTGCATCGTAGGTTGAGTCTGATAACATAGGCCTAACTATTTATCGGTAATTTTTTATCTATTATCACATGAAATACACCAACATTTGATTAATTATAAATATTGAATGGAATTGCTTTAATTCAAAACTACAATTATTAGTATGTAATTGTAGCAATAGTTATGCACCACTATACAATATTCGCATTTAGATAAAAAGGCTCTTCTTTCTTGAAGCTAGAGGCCCCCTATTTAGGGTTTAATGGCAAATACTAAGATAGAAAACTGCATGAATCTTCTTAAGAGAATGATCGATTGGTCATTGATCGGCTTGTAAGTATTTAAGCTCTCAGACTAGTCGTAGATACTCAGGAAAATTCAAATCTAAATGGTACCTATAAATCAGACAACATCATTAATCCGACATTTAAAAGGTTGAACCAAGTAAGATATGTACAAACTCAATTTCGCTAAAGCAGCTCAGTAACTAATTATTTAGCCCTTCTTCCAATCCATTCGGTTTCGCATACATCTTATTTGACATTAATATTTCCAAAATACCAGAAGAGCAATTAACGAATACATCCTTGTAGCATAATGCTCTTTTATCGTGCTAGTCAGCACACATGCATACCCCACTAGATTTATCACCTGAGTGTTTTTATTTCATCCCACTTCCTTAGTTTGGCAATAACCTCCCCCCCCCATGCACTGTGAATATTACCTATCTCTTCATTTTCATTAAGAACTCTATTAGGCAGCTACAGGCGCTGCAACTCTCGGCGACAACTCGGACTTTCCAAACTGGCTCGATTCAAACTTTTTTTGTGACAATCAGTCCTCTGGCGATCGCTGCTTGGCCTGGCTACCAGTCAACTACCGTCTACATGCTTTTTACTACGCTTGGTATGCAGCTCCTTATAAAGCCAATATTTTATCCACTTATAACAACGACCCCAATCGATATGCTGACAACCCTGATTGTGGAATTGGAAAAAATGTCGACTTTCCTAGAGAGAAGAGTAATAATTCTTCAAGCGTTGTCCAGGCAACAAATAGCTTCGAGTGCATTGGTTATCCTGTCAGAATGGCTTTAAAACACGGCCCAGACTACCAACATTGGGGTCACCCCCGGCTAAATGACTGTAGAGAAGCCAAAGTGAATTTGTCCTCACAAAAGACCCCACGTACCACCTGATGATATTGGTGCAGATTTCTATATGAAATTGGGGATCTACACTTAGGCTGACCCCCGTGTGATGCGGGCTCATATGTGAATGGCCAGATATTCTGGAATCGGTAGGCATCTGCTCTTAATGTGTGCATTCATATATGTCTGTTTTATTTATTTCGGGTTGATGGTAATATTATATTGTGAATACTGCAATCAAAAACCTACTCATTGAGGGGTTTTTGCCAAGACAATCTTATATTATCATCCGTTACTACTGAAGAAGTTGTGATCAAGTTCACTGAACCCCAATACTTGTCTTTGAACTGGAGCCCTCAGCACCACTGAGATCGTAGTGAGCGGTAAATTGGTTTATTTTCAAATTCAGATTTCTATTATTCCAATGGCGCACTTGAATACTTTTGTACTTCGGCAACAGGTCTAATTGTCGAAACTAACTTCGATGCACTTCCGGATAATCCTTCTTAATAATTATTGATGAATAGGTTTTCCTGATATCTATACCTTAATAAAAATGAATATTAGTAGACTATTGGGCAGTCTCCTCTGCTCTTAGCTTATTGATAATAAATATGCTAAAAATATTGGCCATCATTACTTTCTGCTCATAACACTTACATATAATTTAAAAGCGGCCCCATTTATTTGTCGATTCTATCCTTTTATTATTGAAGAACTTGACTTTGTTCATTAATGACTTCCAGCAGCCATGAATGAACGATCCAGTTGCTCATACTCATAGAAATGTGTTCTCATTCATGATTCTCTATAGACTTGAACATATTCAGGTCTAATGGGCATTTATAACGGGATTCTAACCCACGATATGCTATAATAATTAGTATTCTTCAACTTTCAAAATAGATTTCTGGGGGTTTGTTTATAAGAAGCCTTCTGCGAAAACAGCTTTACTTTTGTATATATAATTGCCCAATGCTACTGTCATATATATTTATTGTCCTATAACTTGCTGACTCGCCCAGCTTAAGTATAGTTTTACATTTGAAATGTATTAACCTTATTTCTTTTAGGTGATGAAGGGTTGCTGGTTGAATTTTTCCACAATTATAGGAGTAGATATTACATTTCCATTGAATTTCACATAGCCTTGTTTTCTAAAGGGCATTCTCATTCTACAGCGTATAATATCGATACGTTAACCACTACGCCTTATTGCCACGAGGGCCCTTAGGTCACAAGACAAATGCGAATTTCAAGGTTGGCCATGCATCTTTCTACATCACATTCTGTGTTGGGATA